TGTAAAAACGTCTACCTGATTACACTGTAGTTTTCTTTGTACAGCATTTATAATGTAGTGCAGATGTCTGATGAAATACTACGCGTATTGTATTGTTTGTATTGTTTGTATTGTGTTGTATTGTAGTTGTATTGTCGATTGTCTTGTCTTGTATTGTCTTGTATTGTATTGTATTGTATTGTATTGTATTGTATTGTATTGTATTGTATTGTATTGTATTGTATTGTATTGTATTGTATTGTATTGTATTGTATTGTATTGTATTGTATTGTATTGTATTGTATTGTATTGTATGTATGTACAGCTAATTCAATAAAGGTTGTCGTTTGCAAACCTTTAACTTCAAAACCTTAAACCTTAAACTCTAATCGCGCAAAGCATGACTGGAGCACTGATTCAAGCTTAGTAGTTGATTATTGCAGCTGTTTGTCAATGAAATGTTTTTGCAGGGAGATATTTATCATGTCTCCAAGAAATGGGCTTCATATATGCTTTGTAAACTGCTGAAATCGTGCTCCCATTATGCTTTGCGCGCTTAGAGTTTAAGGTTTAAGGTTTTAGAGTTTAAGGTTTCAAAGGGCAACCTTTAAATTGAATTAGCTGTATATATATATATATATATATATATATATATATATATATATATATATATATATGTATGTATGTAACTAACTGCAACTAACCTTGTATAACAATTCCTGATACACTGGGTCTGGCACATCCTCCACAATTATGTGTTCCACTGCAGCATCACGACTACCAGTTATTAAGTACACAAGGACTGGTGGGGACAACCCTGTAATTCCAGTGCATCTGTTTAGAATGGAGTTCAGGATCATTTTACCAGTCAACACAAAGAAACCCCTGAAAGAAGGTCATAATTGTGAATTGGCACCAAATGACCATCACTGCCTTCGAACAAAGTAATGGACCCGGCGGTTTGTTTGCGCATCCTCTTCATCAGAAGGTGGAAATACTCCCTTGTCAAACCACCTGCATCCACTCCGAGTTCTTGTTTAAACGATACATTTAAAGGCCTTGTTACATCAAAGGCAGAATTTTTATACTTTCTTACTGCCTGTTCGAGAATATCTTTGTTTCTGTCCAGGACTAAGTCAAGTTCATCCCCAAAGGGGTTTACTGCACCAGAAATAAAACGTTTTAGGCATTGAGAGGCATCATCATCATCCTTAAAAAAGGCTTCTGAAACAGGAGCATCCCAAACTTGCTCATCATCAGAATCATTTGTATTTGCACCAAGCAATTCTAATCCTATAGTTAAAACGTAAATGTGTGAATTGTATATATGACTAACATTACATCATACATATATATAGAAGAATAACGTGTGGTCGCGAAATACATAAGGTGGCTCATTATACTGTAAAGATGGAGAAAAAACCATAAGTGATCTGAGGGGCGCCGGTAACTTCGCCCCCCCCCCTCCCCCAATATTTTGCTGCCACTGAAGCGTTTCACCTATAACTCAATCAAATATTCAAATGTTAATATAATCTATATACCTGCAGTGTTTGGTGAATTGATATTTTGAATGACACTGCTGTTTGCTTCACTTCGACTGACAGTTTCTGTTTCACTATGATTGGCACTGACTTTTTCATCATATCTACGAAGTACAACCTCGAGCGCATGTTCAAAATCAAGGCTGTCTTTATATATGCTTTCAAGCTCAGGTACTGGTACGTTTGGAAACAGGGCTTCCAAATTCTGAACAGCTGGTTGAAAAAAAATTTATCAATAAACAGTGAATGAGAACAGTAATTGTTAAAGCAATGTTACTAACCTCCTTTATATTCATACTAGAAACATGGTTTAATTAAATTAATTAATCACACCATCCAGGCCCACTGAAGGGAGGGGTATTTGCCCTAAGCTTCAAGCTCAAAAGGTTCACCCAAAGCGTAATATATAGTAAATCATTTTAAATGCGTAATATATGACGTCACTCGAGATAACCTATATTATTATAGGGATAACCTATGTTATTACTCGAGATAACCTATATCATAATAATGTAACGAATCAAACCTTGAACTTTGACATGCGTTCGCTGCACCAAATGAAGTCCTTCCTTCAGATCTGCTGTTCTCGTACACGTTGAGGGAACATATTTCATTGTCTGACGTTTCAGTTGTAACCTTGTTTCCAACATTGCTCACATTATCTTCAAACTGGTCAGATATATCACTGTCCTCATCTATCTACAAAAACATTTGAAAAACATACCACGATATATAGGTAGTAAGGCCTGGACTCCAACCTCAATTTAATAGCCTGCGTTCTGCAAGCGAACATACTGTATAACAATTAGTACAATTGTACAAAGTAATTTTACATTTTGTAAAAGGAATTTCCAATCACACTTGCAATTTTCAAGACAGTATCGACCAATTCTACTTTGAACACTTTCCCCTTGTTGACTAAAATTGCCTGGCATATAAAGTATAAAGATAAAAAATGGGTAATAATTCCTCTCAGCTATATCCATGTTTGGCATTTATGCGCTATTTAATTCGCCATACAAACCTTTAATATAGAAAAGCACTATTTAACCTGTGAACATTAAAATAAATTCCAATCATCATATTTCGTGCTTAATATAATACATTTGCCAAAATTATGAATTGTAATGTACAATCAACGTCTTTGAATAATTTTTTTTTTAAGAAACATCCAAATTTCCTATAAATTTTTTTATTGGATTTACTGACATGACGCAGATCGAAGATTAGTATTTACAAAAAGAGCACTTTTCATCACAAAAAAGGGCACCTTTGGTCCTTTGAAAAAACCTACTGAATAGAATTGGAAAGAGTATGGGTAGGGTCAAAGATTCTCGCATTGTTGGAATGCATTCTATTTATCTTTTTTAATAGACACTAGAATTTTTACGTTTCCTAATTGTCTCATATTGGCTGAGATTATAACACAACATTCTGTCAAAATCCACTTGGGAAAGGTCAAGGGTTGTGTTACTCCTAGGAAGCAACAATTATTTAAGTATAATAGTGCAAAGAACCTAGTATTACAAAAGTATCAAGGCCTTTGCAGGAGAAACGGGAGGATATGACCAAAATACTGGAAACGCATCTTAGTTTGCTTCCAGTAAAATGTAAACAAGACCTTAAGAATTCTATACGAGATAAGAAATATTACGTTTAAAATCATGACTGGCAAATTAGCATGTCCGAATTGATGCTTCCTAATAATAGTATGTACTCCAGTAAAGCTTGCTTGCTTCAGTTCTTGCTGTTATCATCTGCACATTATCAGGGTGGAGAGTAACCTGAAGTTCAGGCCCTAATCACAGAATAGGGCCTGACACAAAACCTATCTAAACTGTGGGATTCCCGTCCACCTGGTGGACGTGAAATCTGATTGGTTGATCAGCATCATGAAGGATTTTGATTGGTTACAAGTTCACATAAACAACAGTTTTAAAAATAGCTCGGTCAAGGCGAGAATTAATATAAAGGTCAAACGCACGTAACAAATTCCATTATCGATTTCTTCAAATTTCTTTTCTTTTATGCTTTATGGCAGAAAATAAATCAAACAAACAGTATTTTGAAAGGGCTTCATCAAAATCTTTGACGAATTTCGGACACACTGAAAGAACAGCCAAACTAGTCATGTATTCGAAAGCTTGTTGTTGACAGCTGTAATAGTCTTCGAGCTTTGTATTTTTATAAGATAAGTACAACAACAACACGAGGCCCCATGGGGGTCTCAAACCGGAAGTATATCATTACAACAGCCAAGATGGTCTGCCAACTTGCTTCTCCGGCAAAAGTCTTATTTCTAATATCAGGTCCTACCGGCGTTGTTTTCTGAGCTACATCGCCTTCTTCGTGGTATGATTGAGAATTTTAATTGTTGCTGTTGTTAGCCCGTTTATAGTCGTTAGAGTACTGATCAGCGTCCAGCAAGTTGAGACCTTGAGAAAGCTTGGCAGCCAAGCCGTGCACAGAACTGACTAATTAAATCTTTGTTTGCTGATCGCCTGTTCGGTTAAATAGAGAAACTGACTCTTAATTATATAAAAGTACCTTGAATTTTTAAGTTTAATTAAAAAGCGAAATGCTTTGCGGACATGTTCATGAGAATATAAATTTTTTGTGTAACGAAATCTACAACACTTGTCAATCATATTGCATGTGTGTCTAAAAATAACATGTGGGCGTCCCACGCACTGAGGCCCCACGGTCTAAACAGGTTTTGTGTCAGGCCCTATTTCAAATTAGGGCCTGAACTTCAGGTTAGGTGGAGAGTTGATTTGAATTTTTTGTCCCAGGGGATAAAGGTAGGGAATAGATTTTCCATCACAAAAGGGACAAGGTGCCCAACCAGTTAGAAGATGGCATTTACTTTAAGTGACCATTCATTATACCCTAGAGTGGAGTGGGAGATTCTTATGTCAAAATGTCATGGGACCCTTTTTTAATCTCTTAATTTAATAATGGAGACCCCTCCTAAATATTTTAGACTATATAAGTATAACATGATGCAATTCTAATCTTCATTCATGTGAATGCCTGACTATGAAGAAAATACATTTTGCAGCACAGGGATGGATCCAGCATTATCTGGTAAGGCGGGGGGGGGGGGTGCTCTGCCAGCTCTGTGTCGGTCATGTGTGCCGCCGGCCCATCAACTTGCTTCACTACTGCAAAGTCTTGCTGTAC